ATATAATCACATTAGAAAATACTGTATATCAATCATTTCCATATATCAATTTGGTCCATGTTGTTGAGTACATGGATTTGTTCAAAACAAATGTCTTCATTCTTCTTTTAGGTGGTGGAGAAGGACCTGCCGTCTTACCTCTAGTCCTTTGTCATTTTGCGTGACCCCCCGACCTTCATCATGGATCTAATGGCATTGGTGTGTGTGGTGCTTCTGAACCAATGACGGCATGTCTGTAAACCCAACTCCAGGGCGGGCATGCCTGATGAAAACCTGCGTGCAACTGATTCCCAGACTCCACTCACACCAAACCAGACCAGACCATATGACAGGGATGATCACAATCAATCCAAAGTAGATGTCCTTTTCATTTGACTGCAGCCAATAAGCGGCTACTCTGTTTATGCTGTTTGTTTTTTTGTTGTTGTTTTTTTTTCAAAAGAAAATATAGTATTGTTCAGATTGATTGACAAATGTGTGCATGTGTCAGTGGAAGGATACATGGATGTCACGAATTACACATTATTAAAAGCACTGGAACAACTGACTTAAATTATGAAATGAAAATATTGTACGAATAATTATCTGCTGAATCAGAAAATAAATGCTATGTAACAGAAAAAATCTTGTCCATGCTATTTCAAACATTCATAAATATACTTTTTTAATGGAAAATGGTTAGTGAAAGATTAATGTTTTTTATTTAAAACCATTTAAGTAAATAACATTAATTTAAAAGAATTGTCAAATAGATTTCATAACGGTGTTGAAAAGTGGTGGTGAGTGTCGTATATTATCTTTTAAATAGAGAAGTTGTTACATTTGCATGAGAGTCGACTCTAGGCCAGTGAAAAAATGTTTGTCTTTGAGTGACAGAAATACAAGGGCACAAATTGTAATTCTTATTTTTATCTAAATAATTGTCGGCATACATCAGAATCGTGTCATTAAAACTCCCACAAATGGCTAAAAATAGAGCGTCATTCGTGTTAGTATGGAGGCTGTTTGTCATAAACAACACCGGGACTGTGACGTCACGGGCGAACGCAGCAGCAGGATGCTGTAGAGACAGACGCGTGTGCAGCTGAGCGGAGCACAGCAGCGGCGCCGCTGGCTGCATCTGACAGTTGAACAACATAAATACACAGCGTCCTGGTCGACATGTAATGAAGGACGACTGACGGGGGAAATGACAGAATTATTCCCTGCAGAGTCTCGCGTCGCCTTTGGGTCTGTTTGAAGAGAAACTGCGCCGCCGTCAGGAACCCGGTGCTCGAGATGGACGACGGGAGGACTGCAGAATCCGGTGAAGATGGAACCGGGAGCGAGGCTCAGGCTGCGGGCCCCAGCATCCAACTGGACTTGGGAGATTCTGGTTCGTTATGTCCTTCAGTCTCCGTGTACGATATGTCGATTTTTGTAGTCAAAATCTGTGGCAACCAGTGTACTGGTGCTGCAATTATCCTTCGATTACTCGAGCACTGAACTGATCAGACTACTACTGTAATTTAGTAGCAGCCGTTTTATTACATTCTGGGTGTTGGAATTTCAGTATAATATATACTATAATATATAATATATTTGAACAGTGACTGAAGGTAAAAGAAAAGGTACTTCGATTAAGAGAAGTGTAGAAACAGGAACCTTCGCTGTGGAAATAAATAATCAATCAGTTGGTTCGATAACAGTGTCAAGATTCAAGTCACCGAGGCTCCTGCTGGTTCTGGCCCTCAGGTCCCTGCTTTGCAGCAGGCTGACACAGACACGGGACTGAAGGCATGAATGTAACGACATGTGAAGGAACTGCCTCCTACATGCTGCACATCTGCAATGAAAACCACACATGGTGATGGCTTCTCTGTCTTCGCTCAGCAATAATATCAATAATAATAATAATGAAGTGGGATTATAGCAACAAAAACCAAAAACATGCCAATGCTGCTCTTAAACACTACACAGCGTGCTCTTCATCATATTCTGATAACAGGAAATGTTCAGTTCTGCTGCAGATCTGTTGATCAGGTTCAACAGGTTCAACATGCAGTTATTTCTAGTCTTTGTTTACAGGTTGTTGTTGTTGTTGAATCAGCACGACAACTTCAACCTGTGTTGCATCAACGTTGGGACATTAAACTGACATTTTCTCAGCCAATGAGAGAGAGAGAGAGAGAGGCCTAATCCTCTTACACACTGACAGCAGGGATTATACAGAATCTCCCACTGCTTATGCATAATATTTCATTACAAGGGTAATGTACCTCTAACTATGTTTTCACCCTCTATAGTGTTTTTTTACAGGTGTGATTGTTAATGCGCCCCAACTATAGACAGTCTGGTTTGTCTTGTTTGGTTTTTGCCTCTGTCTCTGTGGCACATTATTGTGGCATGACTGTGCACACAATCCTGTGCACACTCTTTGTGCCACGGCTGGAGGACACTCCTCATTTTGTCATGCAGGTTTTGACACAGAATGAATCAGGTTACCGGTGTAAGAAGACACACCTGATGGATCCTCAGGTGTGCTGTTCTATTTAGATTCAAATTGGTCTGAAACCTATTATTTATTTACTGAAAATAATGTCTCTTAATTTGTCTATGCAATAATGACAGACAGAACCATAAAATACTCTTCCACTGGGTGGCAGCAGATCGGTATAAAACGAAAAAGAAACTAAAAAGGCCCAGATTTTAGTATATCATCTTATTTTATTGCAAACACTTTTTGTTTGGTGGAGCGTTAGTATATTTTTTGCTGTATTTTAATGCTCATTTTTCTGTTTCCGGTTTTCATTCTGATGTTACTATAGCACCTTATTTTGTAGTGTCATCCGAAAGCCTACGTTAGGAATATTTCATTTGAAATTCATCACATGCATTCATAGCTCCCATTAGAGTGATGTAAAAAAATGTAATTATGACATTTTTCCCATTTAGTTTAACCCTCATGTCCATTTTTAAATTAGTCTAGTAATTTAATCTGTGGCTTATCACCTACAAAACTAATTGTGTTCCTCTCCTCCATCGCTGCACTCCTTCATCATCCCATCATCAGCTTGTTAACCTTTTTATAATCAGCATTAAACTTTAACCACAGTCTACTTCTCATATTATATTTGCCTACAACCTGCAATTACGTTAGAGATTTCTTTCTCAAATAGGGGTTTAACTTCTTCAAAGCAAGTTAAATTAAATAATCATGTTCAATAACATGATTATTTGATTTGACAACCAACCCATCGTTACGTTATTATGTTATGTCTCCATTCATGAGACCAACCTGTGCATCAGTGTGTGTTTCACTATGGCTTACAGCTCCATTACCCCTGCTCTGCCAGCAGCTTCAGCCTTCACCTTCACCTTCACCTTCACCTCAGATGACCTGACAGTCAGCCACACCATGTCGACCAAACATCCTGTTTCATCTCCAACTCACTTCCTGATTTTCTTCCCACTCATCCCACAGTATTCACCACACATGTGTACGAACACAGTCCACTTGTGTTCTTCATCTGCATGTCGCCGAGATTCTACCTAATCCCCTTGTCCGATTGGTCAGTGAGACCTCAGCCAATCAGAGCCCTCAGATTAGAGAGGAAGTCAATCCAATAGAGTTTTTACCCTGGGTACAAATCTGACTAATCCAGGAATAGAGAAAAAAAAACCTTTCCAGTGGCCTGGACACTGAATCTGACGTTTAGCTGCAGTCATGACTTTTAATTTCTCGGTTTGTTGGGTTTTTTTTCTTCTGGATTCTCAAAAGTGTAGGAATTAAAGTCTTCTTCTGGTGAGTTGATGATGTAATGGGTTAAATAAATAGAGTTTGTGGTGGTAAATGTATGTTTGAATATATAGTAGAATTACATCACCACAGATGATGTCATGATTTGGATTTGCATTAAACAAAAAGTGTTTAGTAAATGTTTTTTATCCAGTCTGAGGTGAAACCACAAAGGAAATGTAAAAATATAATACAAGTCAACAAGGTTTGAAGTCTGAGGTCTAGTCACTTAGGTAAAACTAATGCAGATACGTTCATTCCAGGTTTAAGTTCTCTACAAGTCATTTCTGTATAAACATTCTAAACATTCCTCCTCTCTCTGTCTGTCTACAGATTCAACAAAAAAGGCGGAGATATCAGAGGTGAGACGCTGGTTTGTACCAATCCACCCCACCATACTTCCTTTTTCTCCGACCCTTCATTCATCTTCAGAACTCCTTTAACAGCGACGTTCACTCACACGCTGTACATTCCTCTTCTTCTTCTTCCTCCTCTTCTTCTTCATTTTCTTCTTGTTCTTGTTCTTGTTCTTCTTCTTCTTCTTCTTCTCTCTCCTGTTCCTGCCACAGATGCCGTCCCCATTTGGAGCTGCTCTAGCCCAGGAGAAGAAGATTGGCCACCGAAGAGTGGATGCCTCCGGAGAGACAACATACAAGAAGGTCACATTTACTCTTCTTTTGTCTGCCTCTGCTATCATAATGATTGACTCGATGTAACTAATACCCCGCACGTTCGCACCCACACCACGGGTCACATTGTTCTCCTCCCCTCAGACCACCTCCTCTGCTCTGAAAGGAGCCATCCAGCTGGGAATCGGTTACACTGTTGGTAACCTCAGCTCCAAACCTGAGAGAGACGTGCTGATGCAGGACTTCTACGTGGTCGAGAGCATCTTCTTCCCAAAGTATGGATAGGGTTTCATAACAATCACCACGCACAAGTGTGTTCGTGTAGGAAGTGTGTTATGTAACGTCTGACGTTTGTTTTACTATTTGTAGTGAAGGCAGCAACCTGACTCCGGCCCACCACTTCCCAGACTTCAGGTTTAAAACCTACGCTCCCGTGGCCTTCAGATACTTCCGTGAGCTGTTCGGGATTCGACCTGATGACTACCTGGTGGGATATTTATCTTTGACCTCACGTGTTTTATTGAGAGTGTGTGTCTGAGGTTTGAGAGAATAGTGAAGACAGTTGAGAAAGAAGGTGCAGAGCGGAGTTGAGTGTCTGGACTCAGACCCGTCAGCACCGTGCAGTGTTCTCAGCTGTGTGTTTAAGCTCACCCTCAGCCTGTGTTAGAAGATTAGTGAGGGTAAAGCTGTCTTTTTTTAAACACTCAGAGGAGAGCAGCAGACACTCACAGAGTCAACTGTGTCGTGACATTGTGTTAACTAACTAAACTAACTTAACCAAAGCCACAGGTTGTTTCATTATCTGATTGTAATAAAATGAAGTTAGGTAAATTAGGGGCATCTTTCCCTTGTGTTTATATTTGGACTACAGATGTTTCGGAGTGTTCCCTTTATCACTGACTACTTCCTGTGTCTCTGCTCTCTCCAGTATTCTCTGTGTAATGAGCCGCTCATCGAGTTAACAAACCCAGGAGCGAGTGGCTCCATATTCTACGTTACCCGAGATGATGAGTTCATCATCAAGACTGTGCAGCACAAAGAGGCTGAGTTTCTACAGAAGCTACTTCCTGGATATTATATGGTAATAATCTTCCTCACCAGCCATTACTATACTGTTATGTTCAGTTCTTATTATTAAAGTCCAAAGTCCAAAGAGTATAATATAAAAATTCAATTTCCAACATTCAGATTCATTCTCAGCATTTGTTTCATTTGGATGTAAATCCCAGCCATAACCACCAGAGGTCTACATTTCCATAAATTCAAGTCAAATAACAGAGGGAAAATGTATCCTGCTCTTTCTTTATTTGACTCCAAAGATCAACCTGAATACGCTGCAGTGTCATATGTGATTCTCTAGGGCAGAGGTCACTAACACGGATAAATAGCTCCAGTTTCAAAAAGGTCGATGACCCCTGAGCCAGGGCCTTCAAATCACTATTACCAGAAACACAGAGTATTGTGATTTACTTTAGCACCAAAGTTAGTCCTAGAAATGACCTAAAAGTTAGCAAAATCTAGCAAGTATGGCTATGATTATGAATTTAATTAATAACAGATTAGTGAAACCACAAACTAACATTAAGGCCAGAAATAGATTTAAAAAAATAGTTGACCAAAATGATAGTTAAAATTAGCTTTATTAATTCAATTATGCAAAACGTAATCAAATCTAAATCAATGCTAGTCAAAAAATAACAAAAACTAAGTAGCTAAAAGATAAAGAATAAAATATTTAAAAATTTGAAATATTTATAAACATTAAAATTAACATTCTGCAGTACGGATATTTGTTTCTGTGCTCTTACTATTGTTACTCGTTGCAGGTTTGATCACATTAGCATTTCTGCTAATGTCCTTTAATGGCTCATTACCAGTTCATGGTTTCACACAGGTTTACGTCTATCTTGTTTTTGTTATGTTGTTTTTAAACCACACTTCATGTACTTCACTCACTCTTCTTCAGAACCTGAACCAGAACCCCAGAACCTTGCTGCCAAAGTTTTACGGCCTCTACTGTGTCCAATGTGGGGGGAAGAACATCAGGGTCGTGGTCATGAACAACATCCTGCCACGTTCTGTGCGCATGCACCTCAAGTTTGACCTGAAGGGATCTACATACAAGAGACGAGCTTCCAAGAAGGAAAGGGAGAAGTCCAAACCCACATTCAAGGACCTGGACTTCATGACTGACATCCCAGAGGGCCTCATCCTGGACCAGGACACGTATGGTGCTCTGGTCAAAACCCTGCAGAGAGACTGTCTGGTGAGAAAGAACCTGGAAGAACGCACATCAGCAGAGCTTAGTCTGAGTTATTTCAAGAAAAAGCCCACCATAATGTGAAGCATTTCTCTAACCCTGGTCCTCCTCCTGTCCTGGGTGTTTTTATGTCAGGTCCTTGAGAGTTTTAAGATCATGGACTACAGTTTGCTACTCGGTGTCCACAATAAAACCCAGGCACAACGAGATTCTCAATCCCAGGGTTCACCTGCAGGGGGAGGCGATGAGAAGAAGCCTGCAGGGCAGAGAGCCTTATATTCCACTGCCATGGAGTCAATACAGGGAGGCTCGGCCTGCAGGGACGCGCTGGACCACGATGACACGTAGGTCATTTAGGCCTGCTTTTCACCTTATGACTTAAGGAACATTGTTTCATTTTAATGTTCTTGTTTTTCTGTGTGTAGCATGGGTGGCATTCCAGCTGTCAGTAGTAAAGGAGACCGCCTCCTGCTGTTCATTGGAATTATTGATATTCTGCAGTCCTACAGGTAAGAAGAAATATAAGTTGGAAAACATGGATGGAAATTATATTTTATAATATTAAAAGTTTTGTTTTACTTTTAGAATTGTGTATATATTATGGCTGACATTTGATTAAAACATTTAAACTGTAATGTTCACACAGTTAGTCAGGGTTAATAAATAGTACTGAATATGAAAACATTTTTGAAGGCAGATCTTGTCAAAATTTGAACTATTATTTTTAAAATTAATTTCATGATTTTTGTTGCCACTTTTCCGATTATATTTGAAGAGTTAGCATATCAAAGCTCCTCTAATCACTTCACGATGACATACAGAGGTCTAATAAAGATCTCAACTCTCCCAGTGAGACCGCCGTCTTTGATTCCGTCCACAGTTGCCAAGTAACCGCAGTGAGTTTTTGAGTGAGATTAATGACTTAATTAAATCCTGTCTGACAGACTGATTAAGAAACTGGAGCACTCCTGGAAGTCTCTCATCCATGATGGGGTGAGTAGATCTCACACAGCTGCTGACTAATCATTCCAAAAACAAACCCCAGTCAATTACATCAGCTCAGACGTTAATGTGGCAGTTACAGTAAATCAGGGAGTTGATTTGTACTCAGCCAGTTCCATGACTGCAGCCTCTGTTCTTCGTAGGACACCGTGTCGGTTCACAGGCCTGCGTTCTACGCTGAGAGGTTCTACAAATTCTGCAGCTCCATCGTGTTCAGGAAGAGTAGCTGTAAGTCTGTCAGGGTTCATATTATTAACAGTACGACGTCTAATGATATCAAATGAAAGTACAACTTTTCTTTAACAGCCCTAAGATCCTCCCCATCAAAGAGGGGCAGAGGGGCATTTTCTACGTCCAAATCCAGCGCGGGGAACAGCCTAGCGGGACAGCGACCCTCGCTGAGTGAAGAGAGACAGGAAAACCTGGAGAATCTACGAGGTGCTCGCAGCTTCCCTCTGCTGGAGGACAATGGTAGGACTTCTTTATAGAGCTGTGACTTGAATAGAAATGCTGAGTCTTAATTTAAGGTTTAGAGTTTTACTTAATTTATGACTCTCCTATTTCTTAAAACTGTATTGATCGGTAAACCCCTCACAGGCAGAGATCCACCCTGCACTCCTCCTTCATTTGAAGATGCCACCACCGCATCTATTGCCACCACACTGTCTTCAAACAACTCGTTACCCACAACCCCCTTTGATACACCAGAACACCCGCGATTTAGGAGACAAATGAATTCCCCCAGTCTGGTCAGGTAGGAATTAAAAAAAAAACTTGGGGATGGCTCGATACAATGTTTTCATGTCCGATACCAATATCACAACTTGGAGTATCTCCTGGAAAACTATTAGTATTAACAAGAATAATAATGTTTCTTTTGAGCAGTGGTTGACTTTCCAAAAAAAACCTGCCTCCGACAGCCCAACAACAATCTTGACCAGTTACATCATCAACATCAAATAACACAAAGGTCAAAAGGTGAAAACCAGTCACCTGTGACGCCCCACACTTTGAGAAACACTGCTGTAATTTAAGTTAAGCATTTGGGTGTAGGTATCAGGTCATACTATTGGATGGAGCCATCCTGTGATGGGAATAACCATATTTGGTCAAAGGAAACTTTATTCACCACATTGTGTTTTTCTAGGTCACAGAAACAGATAGTTGAGGTTCATGAAGAAAAGCAGGACACGATTACAGTCGAGGTTGAACTAAGGTGAGACACGACGTTAGAATTCAGCTGCAGCGGTCCCTGTTAGACTCTTTAACATGTTTGTGCGTTTTGTTTTATTCAGCAAAATCCCAAACAGCACGGAGCTCACACAGCTGACAGAGATGACTCCCTCCAGTCACGTTTCCCCTGATCACCAGCCTCCGTCCACGCCTCCATCCTCAGCTCCTTCAGCCTCCACCCTCCCCTCTCCCACCTCTCTGGCTCAGTCGGCTGAAAAGTCATCCGCCGCCCTCCCTTCGTCCATCTGTCCGTCCTCTCAGCCGCTCACCTCTCCCACAACTGCTCACTGTTCCACACAATCTCATTCTGTTGCACAATCCACACCTCCCACCTCCTCCACACTCTGTCCTGCCTCAGCATTCACTCCCATCTGCCCTGCCTCCCCTCACCATCTTCCTTCCACGCCTCCCAGCTCCGGTCCTCCCAGCCCACGGGTTGCTCAGCAGCCACCAGGTACCTCCACCAATCAGCTGTCTGTGTCCAGCAGCCACAACTCGTTGGATGGAGAAGTGCAGGTGTCCGACATCTACTTTGTGAGTCCTTTCATTTTTTTCTTTCCTTCCAGATTATAGTTTCAAACCATGAAAGAAGCTGTGAAATATCTTCATATCATCAATGAATAATAGAGGGCCTTTTCTTCCTGTCGTTCATTATCTGCCAGTGGCCAAGTCAGGACAGCGTGGTAGAGTTATGATGGTGAGGGGTTTGTTGAGTTGTGGAGCACACGCTGTGGCTGGAAAAAACCTGAAGCACGACACTGCCATGTATCATAACTCATGCTTTTGACCGTGCCAGTGAAACAATGGGCCTGTCTCTCCTTAGTGACAAACCCTCCAAGAAAAGTTGGTAGAATGGCCCAAAATGTAATTAACAACTAAAATTTGGTTTAAAAAAAAAACCCAAGGTGACATGTTTCCGACTGAAACTCCTCCGATTTCAGCAAGGACATTGCCAGGCCACATTTTTCAAATGCATGACAATTTGGTTTAAAAAAAAAACCCAAGGTGACATGTTTCCGACTGAAACTCCTCCGATTTCAGCAAGGACATTGCCAGGCCACATTTTTCAAATGCATGACTTTGTAGAATGTGTGTGTGTGTGTGTGTGCCTGCTCCTGACTGGCCTGCCTGCCGTCCAGATTTGTCTCTGGTCAAAATGGCATATGATTACAAAAATCAAAAAGACTGTTGGGCAGCTCAATCCTAAATCACAGCTTAGTAAAAAAAGTGATGCATGTTAAAGCTTGATGTTCGACTTCAAATGATTTTGTAAGAAAAAAACACAAACTTTTTTTTTGTTTTAGCTTCTACAGATATGCACTAGGGGCTACCCTAGTGCATTTCAAAAAAAGACAGGTTGTAGAATTTAGATTTTTATTAAAGTTTTAGGGAGTGTACCAACTTTTCTGATTTGTAGGTTTGTCATTCATCGGTCAGTCTCCTCTCATGTCTGTCTGTCTGTCTGTCTTCTGTCTGACTAATGGATCTTCATTATTCCACTCAGCCTCCAGTTTTTCTTCTCTCTCTCTCCAGCTGCTGCCATTTTACGTCATTTCTTACATTTGTCTCATTCTGTTTTCCTGTCAATATTTCCAAACATTCTTTCTTTCTTTCTGTGTGTGTGTGTGTGTGTGTCCATCCATCAGTACGCAGATGGCAGATATTGGGTGTACTCTCCAGTTCTTGGCCGTCGTAAGCTAAACTCTAGCTTGAGTTACAGTGTAAGTCACCTGTGGAGTAGTCAGTCATATGTAAGTCAGGGGGTGGTAACAGTCCCACTGCTGACAGTGCTATGCTACTGTGCATTAGCACCTAGATAAAACAAATTCAGTTTTGTATCAATAGCAACATTATAACATAATAAGGGAGATTTAACTGAGATTTAACTTATGACTTTATTTCTTATTTTTAAAATATTCCTTTTGTTGCCATCCTATTTTCTTTGTTTCTCTTTCAGTCTTCCATCTTTCACACTTGTATTTATTCAGAAAGTTCAATTAAAGTTATTGCTAGACTTAAAGCTGTCAAGGTATGACTTTTAGAAACTTAAATTAATACAATAATAATAAAATAAAATAATTTGACTTTTAACAATAATGACTACAGTGGAATAAAAACAATTAAAACATTGTAGTGTCAGTAACTGAACTGTTGATTGAAACCACAATGTTCTTGAAATGCACTCAGCAGAACCTGAGATTCACAGTTACTGTTCTGGCATATATTTTCTGTTATACTGCACATTTACACACCTGTATTGCAAATTCAACTGATGTGTAAAACCCACTTTATTCCCCTGAGTCACAGAGCAGTGACAGCTCTAACACCAAGCATGTGAAACTGCATAGATGAATTTTGATAAACTGTCTCCTTCATATTTTTATAATTGTCCCTGCTTGTCTTGCTTTTGCTGTTGCCCTCTGCTGGACGGACGTGACCGTGGCAGACTCAGGAGGATCGGAGCTGGGTGTACTCTCCTCTGCACTGCAGCTCAGAGTCCAGAAGGGGCTCAGATGGGGAGAGCCAGGCAGTAAGTGTTTACTTCATAGAGGATTTTCCCAAACAAATGATCAGAAGTGATTCTATTCTCTCTCTCTTCCTCAGTAATTCAGTGAAGCTGAGCCACAGGCCGTCTCCACAGAATAGGGTTATAAATAACAAAGGCACCAGGAGGCTATAAAGATTTAATGCTGGAGCTGCATGTAGAAGCTCGTTTTACCTACTGTGACAAACTGAAGGAAAGAAACGCAGAGGACGTCAGAAAAACACACTCTTATATACATTTGACGGAATCGTACAGCGAAGCAATCGTGACGATCATTAGGGAAACAAACCATCAACTCCTGGACGGTCCCACTGACGTCCAGGGAAGAAACAAGCTGTGAAACATGCAGCGCTGCTGCCTGAAGGGTTTCACTGTTAATAAGTCACATCGCACTGTGCCAGCCCTGGCTATGCAACAAAGAATACTAACATGCTGTACAGGTATACAGTCACAGTATACAGTGTGGTATTTGACATGACACTTCGTTAGGATCTGAGTTTACTGGTGTTTGGTATTCATTCAGGACATATCAGAACTGTGTACAATTTGATTTGAGCACTTTACCATTCTGTATGTGAAACTGGGTCTTTGAGAGTTTGTTACGTTTATCATCAGTTGTTGTGTTAAAGGTTATTGTTCTGTGCTGCTGTGTATGCACAGTGTTACGTGTTTTTCTAACTGTGTTTAAAGGTCCACTCAAGAACCCTTGACCTGATTACTATTATTATGGTTGTGTCCTGGATGCCTTATAAACAGATGTATTGATGATTATTTAGTCATATGAAATGATGATGTACTATATTATGAAAGTATAAGTATATAAATATAGTATGATCTAATTAAATGATACAGTATTGTGTGTGATACCAAATGTTAAAATTTTATTTTCAGAGTGAGGGAAAAAATATGTTACAAAATGAAGACATCATATAATGACATTGCATTGAAGATGGTGTGTGTGTGTACACTCCTGTACGTCTACGTGCATCTGAAGTTTCCGTGTGTGCATGCTTTTGCATGTACATGACGTGTGAGTGGGAGACGGTGTCAGTCTGAGCTGCTTTTTATCTTACGTATTTGTCAAGCTGTCACAGTATGTAACTTTCAAATCAGCCATTTGCATGTTGGCTGTGTGAGAATCGATCAAAGCTCAGTCTGTGTTTGATGACAATAAAAAAAAAAATCACTTTAGCAGATAAACCCATTCCTATCTTCTTCCATTCCT